CATTTCAAGCTCTTCGCACTCACGTATTTCTGCCTCTCTCTTCTTGTTGCGGCAAATACGTCTCGCTTCCCTCTTCAGATCCCTATAGCGGTCCCACATAGCGCGCGTTGCGCCCGATCGCAGCGTGGCCCTGTAGGCGGCATCTTTTTACTCTGCAACTTCCTGACACTCCTCACCGTACCAGTTGTTCTTTCGGGCTCGCTGAAATAACTGTTAACCAGGTTTTTTTGAGAAATAAAAGAGTCCTTTATAGATTTTGCGAAAAAAGTATTTTATTGTTAATTTTCCACAGATTTTACTTTATTTGTATTAATTAGTTTTAAAATTTTGATCCTTATTTACATTTGCCAGCAGTGTAAACTTTGAGAGAAAAGTTCATTTGGCACGCAGGTCTTCGTCAGTTAATTTATTTCATATCTTCTGTATCCATAGGCTAATTTTCTCCATTTTGAGTCCCTTATACTCCTCCTTCTGTCCAACCTAAGGTCTCATACTCAAAAATCGAATAGACTCGGAACTGGTGACTAGGACGGCCATTCATTCGTCCAACCTTACACAGTTTTTTTCTTTTTACAACGCTTTTATCAACTTGCAATGTTGCGGCTCCAGAAGCTTTCAATGTTGTGGGTCCATAAACTTTCAATGGTGTGTGTCCAGACACCATAAAACGTTTGCTTTGCAAAGTTCCTATAAAAAAGGATAGTGCAGAGGGCGACATCTACCTCTACAGTTGATGCAAAAAATTGTGCGACTAATCTCTAAAGAGAGTACTCCGGGATAAGTCTCAATCGGGTACAATTGGGCATTAATTAGTCGCAACTAGTATCATACGGGTATTATTGGAGATCAATTAGTCTCGACTCATCCCCTACGGGTACGATTGAGGGTTTTATAACAAAAGTTGATTATTTAAAATAATTTATCACAGAAAAAAAGTAAATTAGGTTTCCTTTTTTAATACGCATTAACATTAATAATTACTATTTTTTTTTTAATAAGTAATTGGTTTATTTTAAAATTTCACACCTTTTACTCGCTTTCAAAAAGTAAAAGATCTGAAATTTTAGGAAAAAACTTGCTTAGCTGATATTCATAAGGTCCCGTGTGTTTTGCACTCGAATTAGCCACTATACAAAAATTGCGGATTTTTACAAAAAAGTTTAATTTATTCAAAAGACACTATAACAGAAAGAAAGTAATTGAATTACCCTTCTTTCAATATACATTAATCTATATATTAATACGCTAACATAAATTTGGTCTCCGTTCGTTTGGCAATTCTACCGAACCGATTTCAAAACCAAGAACACCGTTGGAAAGGCATTTTTCCGTAGATGAGCAGAATTTTTATGGTTTCACAACTGGTTGAAAAGTACGGCCAAAACCGTTGTTTAAACATTTTCGAAATGTGTATAGATGTTGCTGCAACATGTTCAATTTGACATGTTTCGCCTGTTGTTTCACTACACATTTGAAATTAAGCTTTGAAATAAAGATAAATATGAAGATTAAGAAATAAATGAGAACGATGAAGTAAAAAAAAGGGCAAAAGTGAAGATAAAGACGGAAATGGAGACAATGACAGATACGTAAGAATTAGGGTAACTAAAAGGGTAAGATCATTTCTTGAATTTATGAAGTAAACTTCTTTAGCGGCAGTTGGTTGATTGGGAATAAATTGTCAAATTCAAGGGGAATAATGCACATGGAAGTGGTTCCCAGCGGTTTAGCGGTTTGAGAATAAAAACAAAAACAAAGATGCCTAGAGGTACAGGCAAAAACGAAGATCAAAGCAAATTTAAACACTTTAAGGTAAAAGTGAAGAGGAATATGCAAAAATAAAGATAAATATGAAGAAAAGGATGAGGATGAAGATCGATATTGTTATCGATATAAAACCCGATATTTTTATCGATATAATAATCGACATTGCTATCGATAAAATAATCGATGTTGTTATCGATACTGTTATTGATTAAATAACAGCTATTGTAATCGATATAATAATCAATATAATAATCTATATTGTTATCGATACAATAATGGATATTGTTATCGGTATAATAATCGATTAAATAATTGATTTATATTGTTATCGATATGTACAATAATCGATACTGATGATTGTTATATTTATCGATGAATTAATCGATTTTCCAATCGTGTTTTTCTATATGTTTATGGATATTGTTATCGGTATTTTTATCGACACAGTTATCAACAGGGATATCCATATAATAATCAGAACATGGAATGTGATCACATTAAATGACATCACATCACATTATATCACATGATATGAAGAGACATCACATGACATTACATCACATAATATGACATCACATCATACGATATCACGTGACATGATATCATGTGATATGACATCACATTATATGGCATGACATCACATGACTTGACATCACATGATATATCATCGTATGATATGACATGGCATTACATGACGTGGCATCACATGATATGACATCATATGGTATGACATCATATGACATGACATCAGAGGATATGACAACACATGACATACATCCTATCACATCACATAAAATCACGTCACATCTTATCACGTCATCGCAACTCATCTCATCTACGTGAATAGAAAAAGAAAAGGATATAAGCAAAGATGTGAAAGATAAAAACAAAGATGATGACCAAGGTAAAGTTACCGATTTCAAAACCAAAAAGAGAGATTTTATAGTTTCGAAATTGGTTGAAAACCGTCGTTTAAAAATTTCCATATTTGTGTATGGTTAATTTGCAACCTGTTCAATTTAAGCTGTTTCGCATTTTGTTTTACTTCGTGTTTGAAATTCAACTTTGAAATAAAGATAAATATGAAGATGAAGAAACAAGTGATAACGATGAAGACAAAAAAAGGCAAAAGTGAAGATAAAGACGAAAATTGAGATAAAGGCGAAAATGGAGACAATGAGAAATACATAAGAATTAGGTTAAAAGATAGCAATCGAAATAAAATCAGCCATAAAGGTTACTGAATTTATCGAATCATCGAAGTTTATAATTATCGAAATTTATCCATGCTTATTGAATTATCGCAACGTATCGAATTATTCAAACTGATCAATATTTACTGAGTTGTCGAAATGTATAGATACAGAAACTTAGTTGTCCAAATTTACGGATAGTTATCGAGCTATAAAAACGTGTGGGATTAACGAAACTTGTCAAGTTAAAGAAATATATCAAGTTATCGATATTTATTGAATTATAATTATTTATAGACTTAACAAAATATTTCGAGGAGTCGTAATGCATGGAGTTCTTTCAACTTACAGAGTTATCGATAATTATTGATCTACTGAAATTGGTTGGTTCAACAAAGCAAAATTTATTTATATAAGCTTATGATTTATCACTGCTTATATTAACAGAGTGTAGATAGTATTAGATAGTTTTCGAAAAATGTGGAGATGTCAAAATTAAAAATTTATAAAGGTATCCAAAGCTTTTACATTTTTGAGTTATCGAATTTATCGAGCCATCGAATTTCCCAGTCATCGAAATTGGTCGAGTTAACGAATTTTGTTGAGTATTCGAATTTTAGTGTTCTTGAAATTCATCGAACTATCGATATGTATCAAATCATCGAAATTTATCGATAAACTTGAATGTATCGGGTCAGTTCCAAGTCCTGCCGAAGTCCTCCAAAGACCTTCTCAAGAATTTCCGGTTAGTTAATTTTTAACCGTATAAGTATCGCTACGTGTTAAGTTAGAAAATCTCTCCAAGGCTTCTAAAACTAGAAAAACTGTCGAATTTCGACAGTAACTGGAACTCTAGTAATAATAATTACAAAAGACTTAAAAAACAAGCCTTGGCTAACAACTTTGTACAATTCCGTACAAGTATTTTACACACGCATAAGGCATACTAATTTTCACATTTGTAATACTTGCAAATAATTTGGCTTGGACGTATGTACATTAATTTGTAAGCCCAATTAATGTTTTTATAATACACACTGATACCAATAAAAAAGAGGAAACACTTTGGCGCTAATTGTACACATATCGCTCGTTGCCATCATTGTCTCGCTCAACTCCACTTGTCGCCCAACTTGTTTAAAGCACGCTCCACGCCGTTGGCACATTCTGACCAGGTCATTAGCACTCTAAATTCATGAACCTAAAACCAAATCAGTTATTCTGTTATTTGGAAGAACCATATTACTAGCACTTCGCTTACAGGCATGTTATTACTCCGGCACTATGAGATAACACGATGATGTTTGCAAGTATAATTTAATTGCGACAAATTCAACAGTTTGAATACTTTTTCTCTGTGGACGCGAGTGAAGATGGTGGAAATCGAATTTGTCAAACCACTAGCTACGAGGAAAATCTTTCTATTGCAAAAGAACACAATAAATTTAGCACAGGTCATGGTACAATCAATCCTTTACCTTTAAGCTGTCTAAATCTAAAACAACAACACCAACAACAACTAATATCGGTGTTATGTTTACCCATAGATATTGTCCTGGTCACAAAACAAAACAAATTCCTTCACAAAAGCATCCCATCATCTTTGGTGGCCGCATTTGTTGTTCTTGCTCCATAGCGCTCTTAACTACAAAATATTGAAGCAATTATTACTTAGTAATGTTGTTAGTCATATTCTGCAGCTAATTAATAATATACCTGTTTATTGTGCTTAAACGATAATAAAAGCCCACAGCAAATAAATAAAGCAATTTTGAGTTGTCAAAAATCTCAAGTTGTCAACATTCTCCAGCGACGGTCCTGCCAACATCCAATTTATCGATTAATTAAGAAAAACCATCGATCAAATATAATTCATTATAACCGAGGTGTATCGGTATGCATTTTTTTTTGTTGAAAATATAATAAATGGGTTTTATAGTATGCTCACCACTTTTATTGTTTATTTTTTAGAAAATTTGGCAGCACAGTTCAAAAATTTAGGTCGCACTACAGTACATTTTGGCAGCACTAATAAAGTTTGACAATTAGCCTGTTCCCGTACTACAGAATTTAATCAGAAATAGCCCCAACCGACCAGTGTTGCCGGTGAGAACTTTCAGAAAGTCGAAAAAAAGGGGTTATTGACGAAAAAAGGTTCATCATATTATTATTTTTTTATTTTTTTTACTAGTAAAAGAATACATCTGTTGAATTTAAAAAGAAAATTCACATAAATCTAGTTGCTGCAAGGAGAAGAGTTGCATTTTCTTTAAAAGTTTTAAGTGATGCGTTCCCAATTCCAATCATTGTTTAAACGTTTACCTAATGTTTAACGTAAAGTAAAAATTATGAATTTATTAATGGCTTTTGGTCGATTTTAGGGATGAGAAAACGACGAACTAACGACGAAAAAACGATTTATCACAGTTAACAAATGAAAATAATAAAATTAGAAATCTTTGGCTAACGAACAAACGTCAAAAATGGACGAACATTAAAGAACAATCGACGAACTATCGATTACATTACAAAAATCTTAATATTTTCACAAATGAGGTGCTAACGTCGGTTGGGTAGAAATAGTCCGAAGTCGTTCGGTACACATAAGTCAGAATACCAACTGTTTAGCTATTAAATTCCGAACTACGTAACCTATTAAAAAACGAATGATGTCAAAATTAAGGTAACTAACTTTCATAATTTATAGATAGCCAATAATTACGGGATGGTATAATATCTATACCAAAGAACGTAGATAACAAGAAGGGACAACTCGTTATAATTGTAGCGAAAGTGCGAAACAGGTGTGTGCTTTCTCTTTTTCCCTAGTACGTTTTTTGATTGGATGAAAAGAGAAGGCAAGGTTGCGCACTTTCGCTAGAATTATAACGAGTTGTCCCTTCTTATTATCTACGTTCTTTGTCTATACTATCGTATGTATCGTGCAGAAATGGATGTTCCTCTCGTTTGACGCGTTCGAAACGCTTCTTGCATCGTTTTGAAGGCGTCAACGAAGAGGAAGAAAAATGTCATAGCAATAAATGCGAAGAAAAAAATGTATAATGTACGAAACCTAATAGAATACGGTCGTAAAAATCCTATTTTATATTATGTGGACACGCCGAGTACAAAAATATACGAAAAAGGGGAAAATAAGTGCATTGTACATCGCAATCCGACGCGAAAAAATCGCGCAAGTGCGCGCACGTTTGCGGATTCGAAGCTAACAGCGATTCAAGTGTTTATCGTGTATCCCACCAATGGCAAATTAATATCGATAACTACAATCAGTAGATGGCAATCTCTAGTTTTGCAACAGATGTTTTTCACTTGCCGAATATAAAGTTGACCAGCGATTCTAGAAGTATTTTGAGGAAAATTGAATTAAATTAATAAATAAAAGGAGAATTTAAATCGAGAAACAGTGGATAAATTAGCGAGAAATATGAATAAGGTAAGTAAGCGTCATCTTAGAAGATTGGTTCCTAAAGAAAGGGAAAATAACCGTGAAATGTTGAGGTTAAGTGAAAATGCGCAGATTGCCACAATTGCGTCCATTGCTGGAGTTGTCGAAAGTGGAGAAGATGTGCCATGTAATTCGGTAAATGAGGATTTGAAAATATTTTTTTTTTTAAAGTCTTAAAATGTGGGCTATTCGCAATTAAACGTCCCATAAAATCCTTTCCGAACTTTTGACAATTCTGGAAAATGAAAATATTAATGTACCTAAATACGCAGGAAGTTAAAATCATTAATCGTTTTATTTTACTCCAGCACCTTTTTAAAAAATATGGAGCGCAAAACCCGAGCACGTCGGCAGCGGCAGTACCGATAAAAAAGGCAAAATGTAAGTATGCGTTAATTTCTAATGATATTAAAGTATATCGATAAAATAATGTTCTAGATGCGACCGAAAATAGAATCCTCTTAGAAAACAGCTCAAGACGCGTTAGTGTGGCCAGTGAATGCACTATAGGTAAATAACTCCTTTCAGTGACATACATACATACATCTTCCCTTATACATATATCTTTTTATATTTTTTTATAATCACGGAGAATAAGCGTATCAACATCGGCCATACAAACAAATGGTAAGTTTTAAAACCTTATATATACTCACCTTATTATCAAAATAATTTAGTTATAATAAAAATCGCATATATTTTTCATATTTAGAAACCAACCAAGAAGTTTTCCAAGTTGTGTGTTGCAGTCACTGTAACGTGTTTGAAAAACAACTGCAAGCAATGGATAAAAAAATAGAAGTCCTGCAAAATGTGGTGGAAACCCAAAACGCCGCGATCATGGATGCAATAGCCGGGCAAAAGGTGGCTACAGAGCAACTGGTGCGTCAAGAAGCGCGAAATACACCAGTCGTCAAATACTTTCCGGTATGCGATATACCTGAAATGCAAGCGTTGGAATGCAAAATAACTTCTGCCAACAGAGATATTTATGTGCGTTATCTATAAATGTAGAAATTTGCTGAATATTTGAAATGCTTTATAAGAAAAAAATTATATATGTATACATACATACATACATTTAAATATATAAAACTTTTCAAATCAATTTCATTTCTCTTTTTAAACTTATCGATTTTGCAGGAGGCTGCTATTTCATCCACTTTATGCAACAACATTAAAAATATTTCATCGCTACTAAAAATAGAGGTAATCATCCAATTAAATGTGGATGGATCTCATGGAAAGGTTGGACTTAAATCCTTTCCAAACTTTTATGGTGCACTTACAGGTGTTGAAAGTTTTTATTTACAATTTTACACACATATGTACATGGAAAATTTTCTTCCACTTTCAGGAGCCATTGCTAAAATGCCGTTTAAGGGATTGACGCCGGAAGATACTGTCAGAAACGCACTTAAATTTGAAAAGGCAAAATTTTTCAAAAAGGCATATCGACAAAAGAAAAAAAATTCAGAAAACTAATTTTTAAGTTAATCAAATTTATAAATTGGAATTCTTTTATTATCCATCTCAAAGAAGCACATGCACAAATGAAAATGAATTTAAAAATGAAATTATCGTAAATATTAGACTACTTTAGAATAAGAAAGTACTGAATTTGGAATTAACTAAAAGACTAAAGGAACAAATGTACAAATGAAAGTGAATTAAAAATATTAGACTGTTTTAGAATAAGAAAGAGGAATTAATGTAAATATTAGACTGTTATTGAAAAAGAAAGACTTTAATTTGAAAATAAGAGAGAATTTAATTTTTGAATTAATGAAATTAATGAAGTGCAATTTATTTCCATAAAATATCTATGTTTGAGGCATACACAAAGGTGTAGTGTTGTTGTATGTCGTAAACTTTAAAAGCTTAAGTAAATATTTAGAGAACTTGAAACGACAGCCAAATATTTTTTTACACCTCAAAAATTTATACTATGATTTTGATGGTACTTTGCGAACCCCTTAATATATTTTTTATGCGTTTAAAGTTTACGACATACGACACCGTTGTGAATACCCCAATTAACTTAAAGACCAAATAAACAAATGTACAAATGAAAATGAACTTAAAAATAAAATTAATGTAAATATTAGACTGTTTTAGAATAACTTAAAAGACTAAAGAAACAAATGTACAAATGAAGTGAATTCAAAAATGAAATACATAAAAATATTAGACTGTTTTAGAATAAGAAAGCATAATTAATGTAAATATTTGACTGTTTTAGAATAAGAAAGAATTTAATTAGAAAATAAGAAAAATTTGAATTTTTAATTTAATGAAGTGCAATTTTTTTCTACAAAATATCGTTATATTAAATTAAGTCCTAGAGAAACAAACGTACAAATAAAATGAATTTGAAAATTAAAGGAATTTAATTATTGAACTATTTTAGAATAAGAGTTTTATAATTTGTTACAAATAATAAAAAAATATCTAAATAAAAGACATGCAAGTGAACTTAAAAATTAATATATAGTGTTTTTTCTTTGTATTATATTAAATATGAAACGATTATGAAAAGGTAAGAAAACCACTATACCCGATTGGAATAAAAAGCGACTAGTCCCATTATATATCCGATTTCTATGAAAACGGACTACTCTACTATCATATCCGTTCGGCTATAAAAGGGTACAATTAGTCTCTTCATAGGACATGCTCGAACAAAAGGGAACAGTTCAGTCCAAACAAAGGGATGCAAAGTGGCATTAGTCGCATGTTCCTTTGCGACTCATCGCGGACACATTCCGGACTCGTCGCATTTTCTGCAGGGTATCATTGAGTTATTTTAATATCTATTGCAAAATTTTATACAGACAAGAAAATAAATAAAATAAAATAAAAACTTTTTAATATGCGTGGTTTTATAAATGGACTAAAAAGTAACTTTTGATTTTGAAATTTTAGCGAAAGTCATTATAAACAATTTATGAGACTGAAAATGAAAAGCGTGGGGCGCATGCATGTATGTAATACTCCTATATTGGCAGTAAGAGCTAGTACCTTCCGAAAACATTACAGTACATATATCAATTATATAAATACGCAATCATGTTTCCTTTAACCCCCTTTTTGCGGCTAAACTATACCTCTAAGCTATAAACAATTATATATCATTAGAAAGGTATTTTGATGCTGATGTGCAGGCAATTTTTCGAATTTCAAATTGGTTTAACATAAAGCGAAAAAACCAATTCAAAGTGACACCAATCCTAATGCCGTACATGTACATGGTTGGGGAGGAAATGCCTCCTAAATGTATGCTTTAATATTGATACTGAATTACAGAACGTGCTAAGCAGCAGTTTAGGAATAAGATGTATGTATGTATGTACATAAATAGACTAGACACAAACAAGGAAGA